CCTCCATCTCAGAACATGCTCAGTGTGTTGGCCATTGTTACACACTACTGCTCGATACCCCAAATTCCTTTGTAACAGGCTTCTCTATAAGATGTCAACGTAATTTTACATCACATGTCATCAGAGACTTTCCACAGACCTTCAAATGTTTGTGAAAGGTAGAAAGGCCCATTAGAGCTGCATGAGAGGGGTCTAACAGGCAAATGGAATTGCTAATGATTTTATATTTATCAGTTATTATTTTCATAAAAAAAGGGCCGTTAATTTCCATAAACTCCACTGATGTGGGGAGGACGATTTTGTGGATGTGATTTTGGAGATGTCACTGTGCGAGATTTCCTCGTCTATAGATATCACTGAAAACTCCTGTCTCTGATATTTTATATCCTTACAACATTTAACAATTACGTCGATTTTCCTATGGAATCTTAACAGTTCATATTTATATCTTAGTATATATATATATATATATATATGATTACTTCTTTCTTTCTGACAATGAACTAACAATATATCTCCCTATATTTTCTCCCTCCTACTTTTTCCAAAGTGCTGTCAAAACTATGTTTATTCTACAGACCATGATTGAACTAATACTATATCTCCCTCTAGTTTCTCTCCTCCTACATTTTCCATAATAGTTTCAAAACTATGTTTATTCTACAGATCATGATTGAACTAACAATATATCTCCTTATATTTTCTCCCTCCTACTTTTTCCAAAATGCTGTCAAAACTATGTTTATTCTACAGATCATGATTGAACTAACACTATATCTCCCTATATTTCTCCTCCTACTTTTTCCAAAATGCTGTCAAAACTATGTTTATTCTACAGATCATGATTGAACTAACAATATATCTCTCTATATTTTCTCTCCTCCTACATTTTCCATAATAGTTTCAAAACTATGTTTATTCTACAGATCATGATTGAACTAACAATATATCTCTCTATAATTTTTCTCCTCCTACTTTTTCCAAAGTGCTATCAAAACTATGTTTATTCTACAGATCATGATTGAACTAACAGTATATCTCCTTATATTTTCTTCTTCCTACTTTTTCCAAAGTGCTGTCAAAACTATGTTTATTCTACAGACCATGATATTCTTCCTTTTGATGTATGTTTTGTTAATTTTTCTAAAACTGAAAAGTAACATATTCCCTCTGAACTTACTTTCATTTTTGTATAATTGTGAATAATTATATTAGTTTTGTTGTTGTTTTCTTCAGAGTAAAATCTTCCCCACTTATTGTTTCTCTGTTATTTGTTCCTTTCTTTATCATTCATTGAACCGGTTTTATCTTTCCGTTTATGCTCTCCCTTGACATCGTTCATTACACGTTAGTAATTGTACCACTCAAAACTTGCCAACGATCGCTGTTTCTCGGTGTTAATAGAAAAGCCAAATAGATTTTTTCAACATGTGAGGGGTATGGGAAGCGGTAGACTATAATGTGATGACTTATGACTCACGTGAGTTATAGACTCCTCCAAGAAAAGGATTACAAAAGTCCACCCAGAACACAAAAGAGCTTCTTGAACTGGTTCTACTTATAACATGAATATTATATGAACTCATATCTACAGATGACAATAGAATATTTTTTGTAATAGATGTTCTCCGTCATCCATGGATTACTCAGTTTAAGGTACAATAAATCCTTGGAGTGAGAAACGGAAATGAATAAGAATGTACGACTAGGAAGCCATACAATAATACTGGTTCACATAATCAGTTTCTGTGACATAAACAACAAGACGAGTTTGCAAATATAAGACTTGTTGTGTTAATCAGAGTTGTAAGATAAAGCCTAATTTGAATATATTTATATTTGACAAACAGTGATTCGGAATATTTGGGATAAACGTGACTAAACAGTCTTAATACCTTGTTGTTTTAACTACAAATTTCATTGTGTTAAATACAGATAAACACTTCGTAAGGTAAATATCTTTAGTTTCTGCAACCATCATGTGCAATATTAAACTGATTCTTTTTATTTTTTACTTTTGTAAAGAACAATATGTACATTTTATTGGACTGATTCTTTCTGACTGATAGTTTTGTAACGTACAACATGTAGTTTTTATTGGACTGATTTTTCTTTCTGCCAGTTTTGTAACAGATTCTGTGTAGGTTTTATTGAACTGATTCCTTTTGTCTGCCAGTGCTAGTTTCATAACGGACTGTGTGTAGTTTTTATTGGACTGATTCTTTCTGTGTGCAAGTGTTAGTTTCGTAACGGACTCTTTGTAGATTGTAGTCAACTGATTCTTTCTGTCTGCCAGTGTTAATTTTCTAACGGACTCTGTGTAGTTTTTATTGGACTGATTATTTCTGTCTGCTAGTTTTGTAACGGCCTTTATGTAGTTTTTTTTGGACTGATTATTCCTGTCTGCTAGTTTTGTAACAGTCTTTATGTAGTATTTATTGGACTGATTCTTCCTGTCTGCTAGTTTTGTAGCGGCATTATGTATTGTTTATTTGACTGACTGTTTCTGACTGATAGTTTTGGAAGGATATTTATGTAGTTTTAATTTTAACTGATTATTTCTGTCTACCGGTTTTGTAACGGCCATTATGTAGTTTTTAATTGACTAAAGTGATGGTGATGACTAGCTGCCTTCCCTCTAGTCTTTCACTGCTAAATTAGGGACGGCTAGTGCAGATAGTCCTCGTGTAGCTTTTCGCAAAATTAGAAACAAACAAACAAACCTGTTTACCTGTTTTGTAACGGTCTTTATGTAGTTTTTATACTTGACTTATTATTTCTATCTACCGGTTTTGTAACGGTCTTGGGCTACTTATTTACCGTCACATTACAGCGCCCCCACGGCTGAAAGGGCGAGCATGTTTGGTGGGACGGAGATTCGAACCTGTGACCCTCAGATTGCGAGTCGAACTCCCTAACCGCCTGGCCATGCCGGGCCCTTTTCTAACAGACTGTGTGAAGTTTTTCAGCTTACACAGTTTTTAAGATATGTTCTGCTAGTAATCTGAAAGGATCTTGTCTGTTTATGCTCTCATGTAAATATCAGATTATTTCACTAGTATGATATTTTTCGAAGAATATGATATTCATCAATCTATGGGGAGTAGGGGTGGGCACAGAAAGAAAAATAATTGCCTTTCTTATATGCTTAATATGATTAAATTCTGCCCAATAGTGTAATTGTCTAATCTGTGTTCATTGTTGGCAACTGCATATGTTCCACGACAGGTGTCGTGCATTATCATCACAAAATAGAAACTGCGCATGACATTCATTTTGGCAATGTGATGTAATCATGTTCTAAAGAATGTATGGTGTTATGCTCCTTGACCATGTGTCAACTAAAGCGGCCATCAACGCGTGCAAGCATGAAAATGGAATACTATATTCAGCAGAACAATAATGCCGACCCCATATAAACACCTTTTGTAATGAACAGTACTTACCAATCCCACGTTCTGATCTAGCACCCTGTGAATTTAACTTTTTGGTCCTTTTCAAAAATTATCTCTGTAAACAACTCTTTCAGACATCTAATGTTCTTAAAGCACAACTGTATTTGTAACCAGAATAGCAAGAAACTGATGTAATGAAGCTCATAGACCAATGGAAGAAATACATCGTTCTTAAAAGGATTTTTGTTGAAGAGTGATGTTGTGTTGTCCACATCCTCAACATCATTCGTGACTGTTTCTTAGTTGTTGGTTTTTTATGAGATATGGTTGTCCTATATGAAATAAACTTTTGTTAATTATTTTATCTAGACATTTCCTGATAATTGTTTATTTCAAGTACACAAACGTTCGAATAATAAACCTGCTGTTGATGTTTACCATTAGGAGGCTTTCAAAGTTCTATTTGTTTTTCTCTGACTCCAACTCGAGATGGAAACACATAAAAGTTTTTCATTGACAATGCATTGTACTCGTGCTGCCCAACAGAATTCACCAGCTGCCACAAAGAACTCTTTGATCTATGAGTGATGAGTACAATTTAATAAAAATGACAGTGGAGGTCGACCAGATGGAGATGTTTTGGTATGTATGGTGATATTGGAATCACGTGTCTCTGCCACTATTCAACATATCATAGATGATGGTTTTCTCGTCTTCACATTTGAGCGGAAAATATGTTACTTAGCTTCATGTCTCTAACACTAACATGAAAATATAAAATACACAGTTTTAAGAAGGAATAGTTAGTATAGGAATTAATAACAGAGATAGGAAATTGACTATTAGGAGCTGATTCACTGGTACCTTGAACTTGAAGTGATTAACTACCAGAAGTCAATTGTATTAAAAAACAGAATTTGTATCTTTCAAATACCTTTATGGAATATTTAGTTCATACAGTTTAATTATCAATAGTGTACTTCAGTAAATAAGTACATTATGCCTATATGATAAGTAGGCAAACAACGATTTATAAGCATAATGAAGAGATGCCTACTTATTGTTAACAACAATCTATCATATTACACGAATACAGCTATAAATTAATATGTTTAATTATAAACAATGTATTATATTACATGAATACAGCTATTAGTTCGTACTGTTTAATTATCGACAATGTATTATATTATACGAATACAGCTATTAGTTTGTAATGTTTAATTATCGACAATGTATTATATTACACGAATACAGCTATAAATTCATACTGTTTAATTATAAACAATGTATCATATTACACGAATACAGCTATTAGTTCATACTGTTTAATTATCGACAATGTATTATATTACACGAATACAGCTATTAGTTCATACTGTTTAATTATCGACAATGTATAATTTTACACAGATAGAACTATATATTTTCCACGCAAGTAATTTTACATTCATTAAGTATTTAGAAGTTTTTTAATAGTTCCGGAAGCCTTAAGTTATTTTACAAGCATTAAATGTTTATAAGTTCTTCAAAGGTTCTGGAAGCAGTCATTTTTGTATTGATAATTCAAACTTGAATGTTGATCTCTTTTTTTTTTTCTTTCAGGAGTTTCAACTACTTGAAGAAATAAGAGTGATAATCTTCGGACGTACAGTTATATCAAATGGAGAACTGTTAAAGCATTGGCTGTTTTAATAGCTTAACTATTGATTTACCACTATTAACCCGAATAAAGAGATGTTAGCTTGGGAAAGTCGAACGATGTATGAATATTGCTCCACGGGTTTTGTATTAAAAAAAAACTTTAAGAAGCACGAGTGTGGTATTAGCCCTCACGAACAACGAAAAAAGGTCGTTGTTAAACATTTTAGTACGATGATCACAACAAGAGCCAATGTTTCAATAGTTGTAAGATGCCATACATGGCCCTCAGCCTACAAATCAGAGAATGAGAAACACATCTTAAGTCAGTTTTCATTTCTGATAGTGTTTCTGCTTATTAATTCCTTTCAAGTAACATGCAGTCCACTGTCAGAGTTTTTGGTTCCTCAGTCTGAGAAGCGAGAAATTTCATTTAATCCGAGTGAGCTGGCTAAAATAGGAAGTCCGGCAGTAGGATTGGAAGTTATCAAGCAGCTTGCACAAGCTCTACACGGCTGCGGAGTCCAAGGAACTCCGAGCATGCGCAGAGTATATTTATCGAACGAAACTGCAACCTGCAACGACGGGACACCAGCAGGGTATGTGGTACAGGCTTATATATTTATTTTACTCGTAGGAAGGAAGCTTATAGAAATGTTTCTCTTATATAACAGTAAAAGCATTTGCTTTGCTTATATTTTAAAGCAACTGCTAATATTTAGCTAAATACTAAGTATATCTACATGTATTTACACATATACTTTTCAATTAATATTTAAATACAAGCTTCGTGTGTATAAAATTAAGAGTATTCGGAGCCTAGATTTTTAAATGATCTTACATTACATCGCTAAAATATATCAAACATTGTTTGTATATTGCACGTCCTTCATTCTTCTTCAGTGAATGCCTGAAGCAGCTTTTTGGGATCTGTAAAACATGTATATTTCTTGGTGCTTTAATTTGTAGAAAAGTTTGTGCTTAAACGTTTTACTCCACGTTAGAAATTGAAATAATATTCTTAGATTTATTTGTCAATTTTGATGTTCTAGCATCTGTTAATAAACTTTGAACAATCTAACGTACATAAATATTGGTTTATTATATTTAATCTTACACGCTAATTAGTAAAACTTCAACATATTCACTATTAATACACACTATTTAGTAAAACTTCAGCGTATTTACTATTAAGACACTTTATTTAGTAAAACTTCAGCGTATTTACTATTAAGGCTTTTTGTTCTTTAGTAACCGTCAGCATAATTTCTATTAAGACATTGTGTTTTCTACTAAAACTTACTGCTAGCAGACAGCATCACTTTGATGCTATTAAACTATCAACAGCTTTCGAAGAGGTACGGTAATATTACTTTAATCGATGTCTTACTGGTAGCAGACAGCATCACTTTGATGGTATTAAACTGTCAACAGCTTTCGAAGAGGTACGGTAATATTACTTTAATCGATGTCTTACTGGTAGCAGACAGCATCACTTTGATGGTATTAAACTGTCAACAGCTTTCGAAGAGGTACGGTAATATTACTTTAATCGATGTCTTACTGGTAGCAGACAGCATCACTTTGATGGTATTAAACTGTCAACAGCTTTCGAAGAGATACGGTAATATTACTTTAATCGATGTCTTACTGGTAGCAGACAACATCACTTTGATGGTATTAAAGTGATAACGGCTTTCGAAGAGGTACGGTAATATTACTTTAATCGATATCTTATTGGTAGCAGACAGAAT